ACGAGGCCCAATCAGATGCCAAGAATTGCGCAGACACATTAACTTGCCAGTAAACCATACACTACGTACTTTGTACTACGTTCCTGGTAAATGCATAAAAAAGTGTTGGAGATAGCTCAACAACTTTCAATTCACATAGTTTCTATAGGAGCCAATGGTGCTATTTCAGAATTTAATACTCAAAAGCATTTAATGTCTAAAAATACTAGACTGACAAAGAGTTTTAATGATCCAATATATAATATAAACTTTACTTGTTTAATTTTTCTAAAATAGGACCAGTAATTCAAGTTTCTGAACCATTACATATCCAAAAATCTGCATGAAATACACTATTTTCTGGAGCACAATTACTTTCTTTGGGACATTATATAGTAACGTATAATCAAGTGTTAGATATGTGTAAACAAGATAATAGCATTTTGTATAAAAAGGACATTATTAATTGTAATCACCAAGATGATAGCACTAGCAAATGTCTTTTTTGTTCTTCACTACTTAATCAAGTTATAAATTCAAATACTTCTAAAACTATTCATTATGGACTTTTTGTTTATTTGTTTGTAATTGGTAAGTTAATAATATTCATATTTTAACAATTTGTTAAAATTTAAAAAAACTTGAATATTTGGTTAGGTGAGTTAATTGACACATAACAAAACAGAACAATTTCACAATTAGAAAGAGCTCAAATGGCTATGATGGCATATTTTTTCTTGCTATTTGGAAATCATATATTGCATCAGTTGAATTAGTTAATCCTAATTATATTAGACTTGAAAAAAAATTTCTTTCAACACAAACATTTAATATTTTGACAAGTTTAACAAAATCATTAATAAGAATAATAAATATGTATTTGCTAATTTTCTGAAGTTTACAAAATATTTTTGTATTAATGCTTTAATTTATTGTTAGATTTTTTTAATTATATTATATCGTAATTTTTATAATTAATATCCATTATTACCATGGCTTCACGGATCTGAAGGGTGCAAGCACTTTTTTGGGTTGTGTCGACAAATTAATAATAAATTTATATTTTCCAATTTACTATACATGGTTCTAAAAGTATCATATATATATAAGGCATATACGAATAGTACTTTAAATGAAGTGATAAAAGATAAAACTTCTGGTGTTGATAAGCATAAGGCTAGCAAAGTAATAGTGCAAAAATTTGGCAGTCCCATGATTTTTGAGACTAGATCTAAATCGGGCCTATATATAAAAGTTTAAGAATATAAAGATGATATCAAATCTTAATAGCCTGATTACAAGTCCTCAGTTTAGTGTATAATGTTTTTGGCCTTATTTGTCTTAGAGATCACAAGATCACCAAATTTCATGCTATTGTTTTGCTACTTGTATGATTTAAATATTATTTTATTACATTATAATTAAATCTTTAATTTATTTTATTAGGCTATATCACACATTATAATACTAGAACATTTGCAGAAATGATTAATATATTACGTCAATGGCCTTTAGATGAAGATTTACTTTGTGCTGTTTATGAGGGGTATCAACAAGCTTATAATTTTGCAAAAGTTCTTTCAATGGCTAATCAGAATGAAGAAGTTTTTGGTTTTTTAAATATTTCTAATAGGTGATCAAACCAGTCAAATAATGAAAATAATGATTTTTTTGACTATTTTAATGATTTGATCCAAAGTAATAAAATATCAGATTCATATGCAATTGCTATAGCAGAAATACTATAGCTGATTTTAATACTATAGAGATCCATGATGATAATTTTGAAAATGATTTAAGAGATGCACGTTTTGAGTTAACTTTTTCATTGTCAGATACAAATTTTTCAAACAATCATGATTTAGAGACATGTGAAAACTTTTATATTGGCATTACTGAAGCAGGAACTTTAGATATTTCTTACTTAGTTAACTTACGAAAAAATCATAAATGTTATAGTAACCAGGATATGGAGCGAAAGACTATTTGTAGAATTCAGAATTTTAATCATATAAATTATGATAAGTAGTCTAATTGCAAATCGTATATCAAATATTGAAATATCATGAACTAAGAAATTACGTAGAATTTGGTAGAAAAATTGTTGTCATCTATCTGTATTATCAAATACAAATAAAAAAGTTGGTAAATAATAAATTATGAATAATAAATTATAAAAATAGTTCTAATACTTATTTAATAAATTAATTTAAAATTTAGATCTAAACAGAATAACTGTTGCTAATATTGGTAAACATAATCCTCTTCATAAGCATGGCTATGGATTTTTTTATATTAATCACGAACTTTGTCTTGTACAAATTTTAGTACTGTATCGAAGAATTCTAATTATCATTCTTATGTACGTAATGATGTGTTTAATGTAAATCTATTATCTTACTTATTGGTAAAAGTTTTTTTTCTACTACGAAATAATATTTTTTCACCTCTAGCTAATTCTGGACATATGGTTTTTAGTCATATTAGTGCTAAGTTTTTCATTTATTTTCTTGGATTTGGTGATTTTATTCATGTTGATGAGCAGCATAATTTGATAACTCTTTTTGGGAAAGCTTTAGAGTTATATAGGTTTTTTAATGAATTCTCTACAAAGAATTTGTTATGAATTATTGTTCATTCTGATGTAGAAAAAGATTAGATTTAATGAATAATGTGCAATAAATCAATAGAATGATTCTTTATGCCGATTCTGCTATTGTGGCAGATTTTGATGATTTAGCATGAGTTCAAAATATACTTTTTTTTGATTAGGGCAGTGACAGATATTACGTAATATCCTGGGAGGGGTACCTAGAGATGATATTATATATATATTTTATATATGATCATATATGACGTGGGGGGAGGGGGGTAGCCCCCT